CGGCTTGTCCGCGGCGCGCTTGACAATGCGCGAAGCGGGTGTCTGTGCTCTGCAAAGGTTGCAGGTGGCATACTTGATGTAAGATGTGGCGGCGCAGCAGGCGTAGCACTCCCTCGCCGCGCTGGAAAGCTTCGAGGCAGATGGGGCACTCCTCATTGTAGCCGCGGAACGACGCCACTGAGGGAGGCGGAGCAGTCGGCGCAGCGGCTGGCACAGGAGGAAGATTGACAAGTGTCTCCGCCCAAATCTGCGCGGCCTGGCGCCGCTGTCCATCTTGCTGCCATGCAAGCGCACGCGCCAGCTGTGTGCTGTGGAGCTCGTCGAGGCGCCGTCATTGTGCGCGGTCGAGGGTGGCGTGTGCGCTGTGCTCGGATCGGCCGACGCCGGACTTCCAGGTTCGTGGCCACTCTCCTGGGCGGTTGGCTCACGTTGACGGGGCTTTGCTGGTTGGACAAAGCCAAGTCCTGGGAGACTCCGTCGGGCACTGGCGGCGACGTAGCTGCTCGCGAGGACTGCGGCGCCCACGTGGCGCTCGATCTGCGCGGCGCGATGATGCCGAGGTCTGAGACTCAAGGCATGTACGCCCATGTCAGCAACTGCACGTCGTCAGACTGGGTTGGGGGGGCGGCGGCGCGTGCGTTGAGGTCGCCCGTCCAGTCGTGCCCCTGGTTTTGTCGCAGTGGGGATGCACCGCCCACTTGTGTCCATTGCTGTGGCGTTGTTGGTGGTGGCCGTGGGGCCGCTGAGGCTGATGGGGCTGCCGGTGCAGTTGGCGCTCCTGGAGCTGGCGCGGCTGGCGGCGCTTCCCCCGCTACTGCCGGACGGCCCAGCGACGCAGTCGCCAGAACCGTCGGTGCTGCAGGGCCTTGCGCGCGGCCAATGAGGTCGGCCATCTCCTGTCGCCGTCGTCGTTGTTCGGCTTCGCGTGGTGAGGGCGCGGGCGACGGCGCTGCCCAGAGACACGAATGCCAATGGTTGAGGTGGCGCGCTGTCCCCGGCAGCGCCGGGTGCAGTCGCGCCCCGTTGTGGCCAATTGGGTCGCTTTGGCGGCCCGAACCCACGCCCGCGGCCCTGGGCTTCCCTTTCCCGTTGCCCTTGCCACGCCCGAAGCCCGCGAAGGTCCCCCGGGAGTCGTTCTCGGACCGGGTGGCTACGACAGCGCGGCAGCTACTATCTTTGCCCTCGCCCTTCCGTTCGATGGCCCCCAGGGCGTGGCGCGCGGGCATGTGGTTGTCGAAGCTGCGCCAGCGTGCTTCGGCGCGCTCGCGCGCCCAGAATAGGTGCGCCCCTGCCCTGGCAGCGGGCCAGCCATGAATCTTTGACACCTCTGCGTTCGCCCTAGTATCCGCCCGCTTCGTGGACTGGTCCCTGTTGTTGGAGAGCGGGCCGTTCTCGCGGATGAACTTGCATCCATCGCTGCGCTCGTCCTGCTCCACGGGCTGCTTCCGAGCGTTCTGCATGCAGCTTCGACGTGAATCGTCTGATTTGCAGCCTCTTTGCCTGCTTCTCCAGCGCGTGTTAGATAGCTGCGGCGCCAGTTCTGTAATTCTGGCCGTCGTCGATCTCGTGCGCCTCGCCGCTCGCGATGGCCAGGGCGGTCGCGGCGCCCGCCCTGTCTTTCCCGAAGCTGATCGCCTCAAGATGCGGAGCTGCGTGCAACTGTCGTCCTCGGGAGCATGGTGCGCGATGAATTACCGCACGGTGCGGGGGGCGACTGGCTCGCACTTGGAAGCAAGGGGCGGCTGTGAATCTTTGATGCGGCCCGGGCAGCGCAACTCCTGCACCTGGGTGCAACCGAAGGCGCCCAAGTGACTCATCGCCGCGTCCGCAAACTAAGCGAGCTTCGTGGTGCTACCGCGCGAGATTGGCACTCGGGGAAGGTCGAGAATCGTCAGGTCGCCATTTAGGGACAGCCCGTCATTCTTCGCAGCCTTGCCGGGGTGGCACCCGAGCTTGTTGCCGCATGCCATGAGTCGCCTCCTCGAACGCGAGCTTGGCGTCGCCCGCCGCGCCGCATGCGATCTCCCCCAACGTCGACACGCTTGCGGCGGGCGCGCTCGCCGTGGCAGGAAGGAAAGCACGGGGGCGCGAGCGGTGACGCGGACTGGCAGACGAGCCAGCGCGTTCTGAGCACATGCGAGCTGCGGGAGGAGGGGGCGGGGGGGATCAATTTTGAGGATCCTCACTTGTAGCCCTGGTGCGCGCGCAATGAACGCGCAAAAATGGTGGCAATTTTTTGGGTTGCCCTCGCCGGCTGCCTCTCCCCATGACTCGTTCGCCCCTTCTGGCTTCCTCCTTGGTTCCCTGTTGTCTTTTGTTGTCCCCTTGTTGTCGTTACCTGTTGTCCCCTCGTGGCCCGTTTTGTCCCGCGGTGTCCCCTTGAAGGTCCCTTTGCGTCTCCCAATGCCCCCTGGCGCCCATTGCAGAGGGCGCGCGGGCGTGGGCGACGGCCCGGACTGGAAACAATGCATAGCGTTCGGCTTAGCACACGAACGCGTTTCGGAAGTCTTCCGCGTGGAAGATACGCACTGGGAAGGGGGGGAGGAGGCGGAACGTGCTAGCAGCACCATTTGATCGTTAGCGGGCTGTTCCGCATATGGCAAGGGGCGGCATCCATTTTTGGATGCCTCCTCCTGCCAAAGGACAAATGTGGAGGATGATGAGAAAAAGGGGATGGCACCCGCAGTGGGGCGGACATGGGCGAAGGACCACACCGCACAAAGAGCATCGTGTCCTGTTTAGAACACGAACGCGCTTTGCAAGTCTTCCTCCTCGTGGAAGAAACATACTCGAAGGGGGAGAAGAGGCGAAACGTGCCAGCAATAACATTTGATCGTTAGCGGGCTGCTCCGCACATGGCAGGGCGCGGCATCCACGTTTGGATGCCTCCTCCTGCTCCTCCTGCCAAAGGGAACAGAACAGGGGGTGGCACCCGCAGTGGGGCGGACTTGGGCGAAGGCCCGAAACGAACAAATGGCATCATGTCCTGCTCAGAACACGAACGCGCTTCGCAA